TCCTGGAAATCTGTTTGCATCTGTTTTATGGATTCCATTTGTTTCCTGTGTTAGGATTCCATCATGTTCCTCAGATCCTCTATTTTTTTTTTATCGGTGTCCTCTGTAGATGTGTTAATCATGTCTTGCACTATGGGCGCAATCTTTGCTGTTATCTGAGAAATTATTTCTGATTTCATTTTTTCCAGATCCTCTTTTGTTGCCAGTTCAGGGAGTCGAAGTGGTTGAGTATCAGATTGTTCCATCTCGTTTCCCTTTGGGGTTGCTGTAGGTGATCTGGAAGTCTGTTTTTGAGGCTTGTTTATGTGTTTTCACATTTCCATGGGGTGGGGGTACTTCTGTTGCCCAGGCAGCTCACCTTCTCTGCCCCAGGAACGTGGAATGGCAGTGGGGGAGCCTCTTCCTGGGCGCTGGAATTGGCTCACCTTCTCTGCCCCAGGAGCATGGAATGGCGGTGGGGGAGCCTTTTCCCAGGCATGGGATTGGCTCTCCTTCTCTGCCCCAGGAGCGTGGAATGGCGGCGGGGGAGCCTCTTCCTGGCCACTGGGAATGGCTCACCTTCTCTGCCCTAGGAGCGTGGAATGGTGGCAGGGAAGCCTCTTCCCAGGTGCTGGGATTGGCTCACCTTCTCTGCCCTAGGAGTGTGGAATGGTGGCAGGGGAGCCTCTTCCCAGGTGCTGGGATTGGCTTTCCTTCTCTGCCCCAGGAGCATGGAATGGCGGCGGGGGATCCTCTTCCTGGCCACTGGGAATGGCTCACCTTCTCTGCCCTAGGAGTGTGGAATGGTGGCAGGGGAGCCTCTTCCTGGTGCTGGGATTGGCTCACCTTCTCTGCCCTAGGTGCATGGAATGGCAGCCTGGGCTTGCATCGTAAATAGCCAAGTCATAAAGCATTTTGTTTTTAAAGAGTTAAAATAAAAATTGTTCAGAAGAGCAAATAACTTCATGTAGACAGTATATACCAAGATAGATCTTTCCACTAGAAATTTAATCCCATAAATCCGTAGGATAAACATCAGAAAATTGCACCCGTTCCTAAATGAGGTACCAGGAGCCAGCATGCTTTCTCATGTATCAAAAACTCAGTGAGTCAGAGAAAGCTGCCTGTGACATAGCCGACAACCATGCTTGTGATGAGCACACACAGCTCTCAGGATTCAGGCCATCAAGTGGCATGCAGGTCACTCCTGCTCATGAGTGGACATGGAAGGCTTTGCTGATTTCCCTGCATGAGCACTGTGGGTGCTATCAGCTGCCAACTGGAAGTCAGGATGGAAGAACTGGAGTTCCTTGCAGTAACTCTGGCCACTCCACAAAGACATCTGCAGGCAGAGCCCCACACTGGGCACTTCAGTGCAGTACAGGAAGAGAAGTCTTATGGGGAACAGAAAAACAATCAGGAGAACGTTCTGTGAACTCCCAGACTTCTGCAGACGTAGTATGCAAAATGTAGAGTCTCCTTGTAGTGCACGGTCTCATCTGAAACCCTGGGATTTCAACAGAGGGGTGGAAAAGGGGTTCCAGTGTTAGAGGACTTTGAGAGGCATCTCTGAGAACTGGCAATCTGGGCACAGGGGGATGTGCTTGCTGTGCCCCTTCCCGGAAGGCCTACCAGAGCCGACAACCATGGATTTACCCTGCTTCTCACCCCTGCAAGTGTAGGTGCCCTCATGTGGACTGACATGGGTTGAATTCCAGTGAAAAACAACCACTCTGATCTTTGCAAGATGAACCAGTTTATGAAGAATGGCATGCTCTGATGAGAAGAGGATGTAATAGGAGTCAGGCTGCAGTATTTAGAAAGTAGAAATGAAGCATGAATTTCCCAGGAATAGAACTATAACTATTTGTGTGTGGGGGGGGGTCCTTCATGTACCAAGGGCAATGATAGGCTACAAAATAGATGTTGAATTTCTAATGAAAATCACACTGCTGTTGGAAGATTAATCAAAAGTATGGGCACAGCTAATACTAGCCTGGTGATGCTTTTCTCATTCTACTGAATAAATCTCTCTCAAGCACCCAGTGTAATATGATTCCTCAGCCATTCAGTGACTACATACGAGTGTAGACTGTGTCAGGGTAGAGTGCAGAGAGTCACCCCAGAAAACAAACCAGATGAAGGCCTGTCTCCAGGAGCTTGTATTCCAACTCAAGCCACTTTGTTAGAACTATACAGACAGCAAGACACTAGCTGATCTTGCACGTGGGGACATGGACATAGATAGTGACATGAAGGCAGACGATAACTGAATAGCAGATACCAGTGGAAGCCCCCTGTGGCTCATTGGCACAGAAACTGCAGTCAGAAGCAGCACAGAGGACCCTGGAGGCTGGGACCTGATGGGAATCACCGTAGTGCCACAGTACCAGACTTTGAAGGAAGAAAAGAATTCAAGACCCATAGGAATGCAACAGGAATGCAACAGTGCACCTATACATTGACTCCAAGACCACTGTGTGTTTGGATTTGTGCAGCTCTAAGCAGATTTGTCCTCGTACCTTTGTGCTAATGTCATTTTAAAGGTTGTGCCTTATCTAGTAAATAATCTTTGCACAGTCTTGTGTTTGAGGAGTGTTATCCTCAGCTTTCTCCCTTTTAGACTTAGAAATAACTAATTCTTTTTGAGAAGTGAGCAACTAATTGAAAGTCCTATTTATTCCAAGGCGCGTGTTACATAAGCAGATGTATCGCCGCAGCTCCAGCTGGTAGGTGTGATTAAATAAGCATATGTACTTGTGTAATTGTTTTTTTTATCATTGTCGCTAAGAGTGCTTCTGTCTTTGAGAGTGTCTAAGAAGGAAGAGGTCAGGGGCACAGGAGGGAGGAAGGGGAAGTGGTGAATCCTGAGCACTGGAGCCAGGCGGCTGGTTCCCCTGTTAATGTTCAGCCACGCTCCTCTCTTACAGCTCAGCTGAGGAGTCATGACTCACTTGGGGAAGCACAGACACCTTTGCAGAATTGCGATCATTATCTCCCCAGCCATTCATCTTGACACTTCACGTGCGGCCATGATTTATGTCTGTCAAGAACCGAAGAAGCAATTCAAGCGTGGTTTTTATTATGTACGCAAAACGTTCTTTTCTGACCCAGATTTTCTGAAAGGAACCAAGAAAAAAAACCTCACATGATCATCACAAAAATGCAGAAAAAGCATCCCACAAAAGTCGACCCTCTTTCTGGTGAAAGTGCTCATCAATCTAGGAATGGGAGGAAAGCTCCATGGTAGTGCAGTGCTGGCACAGAGGCCAACATGCAGACCGAGGGAACCAACCTGGGCAAGTGCCCACTGGGCAGGTGATTTCTGGCAAGAATGCTGAGGCCTTGTGATTTGAAGAGACAGTATTGTCAGCCTGCATCTCCATGTGCGTAAATAAAGGAACAAAGCTAGACCCTTACCTAACATCAGGTAGGAAAATCACCTTGGGCCTTTTTCCTGAATAAGAAGGCTTGAAAGGAGTTACCCAAGGTCTCCAGATAGCTTGTACATCTGAGAGTTTCCCGTCTAGGACGAGGAGCTGCAAGAGCACTCTTAGCACAATCCTGGCTGCAGTCTGGAAGATGAGGCCCCGGCCTGAACCCAATTTCTCAACAACACGGAAGAGGGTGTCACAGATGGAGAAGGGCTGAGTTTCCCATCCTTCCTATCTGCTTTCTCTTCTCTATTTCCACTTGTAAATATTTCCTGTTCTCTTCTGTTTTCATGTTTTCTTCTTTTGCTTCTCTTCCCATTCTATTCCATCTTACTCTCTTCATCCATCACAAAGCATCTGCCTGCCCACTCGACCTGACTGTACCCTTACTACTATTATTCCCAGCTCAGTGTTTGACACCCCACCCATAGTGTTTCATGTATCACTGAGATACTCTTTGTAATACGGATAGTGTATACTAAAGTTAGAAAGTTTGATAAATTACGTCTTCTAACATAGTTTTCCTTTCTGCCTATCAAGTTCCTTTAAATGAGCAGGTCTTGTAATATGGTCGTCGTATCACTGACAGTAACAGTATCTGGAGACTTGTAGGAAATGAGATTCCCCTGCCCAGCCCCAGACCTCCTGAATCAGAACCTGGGGTGAGGGCTGTGTTCCCACAAGCCCTCCAGGAGATTCCAGTCAGGATAAAGTTCCGGAACTGTGGGGTGGAGACTGTTTACCTCCTGCCACCAAACTGATTTTATCTTCCTAAAAGATCTCTTAGGGGAACGAGGTTATGGGAAAAGCGCTTCCCCTTGAACTTGAATGGCTATGATCCCATGCGTGACGCCTGCGAAACTGCGCCTGCGCACTGGCTTCACCCAATTCCGGGCAAGGCAAGAGCGTGCTATTTTCATAAACTGCAGCTGGTAACAGCTCGGGACATTTCACAGGTTCTGCGCCTGGCAACAGCAATTGTTTTCCAGCCCATGCTGTCATTGCCTGCCGTGACTGCTAGGAGGAAAAGAGACTTTTCTCTCTAAAAGAGAGACTGAGTCTCAAAATCAAAGCATCTACACAGGCAGTCACTGCCACGACCCTCCACTCCCGCCTTCCTCCTGTCTCATAGCTGTTTCTGTTCTGGTTGCTCAAGCTCTGGGAGTCCGCCTTTGCTTCCCCCATTTCTGGCTTTCTCAGTCTGTTCCCTCCCCTGAAACCAGGTCTTCATCACTCCAGCATCAGGTGATTTTTACTGTTTTCCAACTCTCTCCTTGGCGCTGTCTCTTTTTCGATCCTCTTAGGCCAGGCAGATTAATGTTCCTGAAATAATAATGTCTGGTTGTCCTCTGATTATTACCGGCACTGCTGCCTGCCACCCAAACTCCAGAGTCCAGGGCTTCGGGGTCCCCACCATGCAACGCCAGCCGAGCCTTCCTAAACATCAGTGGTCCCTCCTGCCACGCGAGACACCCTGCCGGTGCCAGGCCCAGGTTCCCCACCGCTCTCACTCAGCAAGTCCGCTTAGTTAAAGCCTGTCCTTCCTCCGGGTCCTGCTCAGGTTTCCCCTGCACACACCACCAGGTCAGTGTGGTCCTGCCAGACTGCGAACCCTTGCCGCCCCCGGGCTCCCTCCGCTGCATCCTTCCTTTGATTGTTAGCGTGCACTGTTACCTTACCTCCCTGTTCATCCCAAGCGCTGTGTTTTGTATTCTTCATGCCTGTGTAAAATTCCCAAATACCAAGTAGTTGAGGAATCTTCAACGTGTTTACATTTTAATGTGTTTTATTTGTAGATGTGTGATGTTCTTGTGAGTGTAAAAAAAAAAATCTGGCACAAATGATATGCCTCATTATTTTTACTGTTGTGACTTTAGAAGTTAAAAAACTTTTTTTTTTGGTACCGGGGATCAAACTCGGGACCTTGCACTTTCGAGGCAGGTGGCGGAACCACTGAGCTAAATCCCCGGCCCTGAAAAAACATTTTTAACATAACACAGCTCAGTTTGCTTCTGAGAACTTCTGTAAAAATTCAAATTTATGAATCCCTTCTCTTTGATGTAAGAAAGCTTTTAATGTCACAGATTAAGTTTCTTGTGTTTTAGACATCAAACAAAAACTCAACATATTTTTATTTTCGCCTTTCTTTTCCCCTGCCCCTAAAAAATGCCAGTGGATAATTGAGAGAATTCTACTAGAGCATTCAAATATTTAGATTTGGAGAAAATAAGATTTTCCAGCACATATTTTATTATGGCACATTATTAATTAAGCTTACTTTTTATTGAAGTCATCAAAATGTTTATAATTACTACTAAAAGTCATGTTAATATCAATACTATTTTGGGCCAGGGATTTAGCTCAGCAGCACAACGCCTGCCTGGCAAGTGGGTGGTCCTGAGTTTGATCCCCGGTACCAAGAAAAAAGAACATGAATACTATTTTAATAGCTAATATTAATTTAATAACCAAACTAAAAACACTGAAAAAAAAAGAAAAATATTAAAGCCTCTCCAATTCAAAATACGCATAGCATTTGGCCAAAAGCCTATATTATTGTTTCTTTTTAAGGAAAATGTAGTTTTATCATGTTTAAGAACATTACAGGGTCTGGGAAATGCCTTATAATTTATAGTGGGAGACTTTTCTTTTTTGGTACCTGGGATTGAACTTGGGTCCATATGCTTGAGCAGCAGGCGGCGAAACCACTGAGCTAAATCCCCGGCCCTGTGGGAGACTATTTTAATAAAATGGTAAATATTGTTTCTGTTGTTTCCCTTTTTTGGTCATTTCTTTTTTTGTCATTCATCCCATAGATTTTTTTTCCTACTATATAGTTTTTTTGTTTGAAAGTTCCTTTTAATTGACAAGTGAGGACAGTATATATTGATGGTGCTTTGACATACACGTATGTTGTGGAAGGCCTGCCTCAAGCTATTTCACATGTACGTCACCTTACATACTTAACGTGTGTGTGTGTGTGTGTGTGTTTGTGGTGAGAGCACATAGAAGCTACTGTCTTAGCAATTCTCACACATATACTATTATTATTAAAGGCCTTGATGCAGAATAGATCTCTTGAACTTACTCCTGACTAACTGAAACTGTATCCTTTAGCTAAGATCTCCCACATCTCTCAAGCCCAGCCATTGAGAATCACCATTTCTAATTGAAATATCCACAATATTTCCAAAATCTTACAACTGTTCTTTTACATATGAACATTGGCCTTGTTTATATCACTCCTGTGCTTACCATGCCCTTGCGGTGATAGAAGAAGTATTTATTTAGGGCTTTCTATGTGTAACAATGCTTAGAGAAACCTTATATTCACTCATTGGTGTAACTTTTCAATAAGTACAATCTGTCACTGGCTCTCACTTTCAGGGTCACAGTCCCAAGGGGTCCCATGGCAGTTCACCCCCATGAACAGGCTTCTCCTGCTGTGTCCAGCCTCATATCCTCCTCAACCCCGGGCAGGCATGGATAAACAGCTTGTAGGCCCCCACATAGCCCAGGACTCCTTCTCAATCCACATCACGGAACAGGTCATGGTTCTGTCTTGGGGACCATCTTGGCCAGCTCCCTGCGACTCCTCAGAATTGTCTCCTCTGTGTTGCTGGTTGTAGTGCCTGTAAGGACTTGTATGGGAATGGGATCAAGAGTTAGAGAGATGGAGGAGGGAGCGTAAGGGCTGAAAAAAAGCAATGAAGATGTGTTATGTGCATCCAGCAGCTCCACACAAGGAATGTGAACGTTGTATACTGCAAACACATAGTAATTAAAAAATAAATGAGTAAGTTCTTACTCTATACTTTTAATAGTAGATTAATTATAAAAAGAGTATATTTGCTGTGACATATGTATACTTTCTAGCTATTCTTTGATGGTCATACTTAGGCAACTTTCACAGCTAAATAACAATTTTCTGTTTTTTCCTTTAGGTGGTTTGCTCTATTAGAAATTCAAATATGTATTATTTTAATACTTTATAAATATGATTGCAGTCTTCTGGACCCATTACCAAAGCAGGCAAGTATTTCAGAATTTTGAATATCATAACTTTCAGATTTGAACTCTGACTCCTTCACTGTAGAATTGACTCCCACACTTAGGCCTGATGTTGGTAGAACTGGACTGAGAATGTACCTACTCCCCTTCGTTCAGTCTCTTCATTGTGCCCCATTGCTACATAGCTAGGGCCAAATAGCAGCATTTTTGCCACTGCCAATGTGAGGACCTCCTCGCTGGCCTTCCCAGATTTTTCCCTTTTCCCTAGGTTAAATAAACATAGCCTTAGCTTTGACTTTGTACCCCTAGAAAGGAAAGTCTTCTCTAGGTCCAAAAGTAGCCATGCATTTTGGATGCAAGTCATACCCTTGGTCCACTATGAAAGCAGTGGTGTGGAAGAAAACCAACCCCAGTGGAAGCAGGAGGCACAGTGGGGACAGAAAGCAGTACACACAGTGCAAAAGGCCGCCACTTCATTCTTGCCCCTGGCAGGAGTACTGCAATCATTTATCTCCTCACTGGATCTGTTCTCCTAGGCATCAGTGGCCCCCACCCTGGCCTGAGTGTCATCAGAGCCACCTGAGGGGCTGGTGAAGGAAGAGCACAGGTTGAAGCTAAAAAATTAAGCATTACAATCTTAGGACTATTCACATAACATTTTGTGCTTTGATTTAATGTTGACATAAGGTGAATGTATGGAGGGAGTTATATGTGTGACATAGAAAATGTATTACAAATATGCATGTTTCCACAATTTCCATTGATTTCTCTTACACTTCCGTTTTGTGTTTAACCATCCGTGCTGAAGAGCTCTCCAAATCTTAGCATGAAGGATACTCAAAGTACCCTTTCCCAGAGCTCTCCATTGCCTGCTGTGTTGTGGGCAATATGAAGATCAGAGCCAGGATTTACAGACCTCAAATACTAGTTCTCTGGTCTACCAAGTTAGATGTCACAAGTTTTCCCAGCACTGACTCAGCATCCAACTATTTTCCCATCAACAGGAGGACCGGGGAATGTTTGCCTGTTCATATGAGATGAGATCCGTGAAAACCAGAGAAATCAATAATTGTGGTCAGCTCCATAGGGAAGATCACTCCTAGCACTTTCTTCCTAGCTAGGGATTTTATTCACTGCATTTAATTTCCTACAGTGTTTTGTGTACATCTTACTTTGCTTTGACACCAGTGAGAACATTGTTTAAGGAAATGTTATCTCAGTTTGTAAAATGTACAAGTCTAAATAAATTCCCATAATCTCAAAGAACATTTTATTTCACAATCCTTATTCTAGAAAGAGAAAGGTCAATTGAAATGATTGGAATTGTTTTAATAAATTGTAAAAGGAGGTGATCAGGAATAGAGGAAATGACTTTCAGATTATAGTCTCTGAGAAAGGTGTGTTCTGAACACATCGTCCACTGCTGGGGAATCAGGGGATCTGGAACCTGCTCGTCACAGGAATTTTCCTGCCAGAGTAGCAAAAATCAAACATTAGAACCCCCAATTTTAATTTGCGAATAGCCCAGAGTTTTATTTTATTTTAGGTGCTAGGGATCAAACCCAAGGGTGTGTGCATGCTAGACAAGCACTCTACCACTGAGCTATCCACAGCCCGCAGTGTTTTATTTTACCTCAAGGTCTTAATAAATTAATTTCACTTGGATTCCCTCCCATTAGGAAGCAATCAGGAGACACCACAAAGCATTCAGAATCCCTAGCTGGCAGCAGAGTCCTGTGCCTGGGGAGGGGCAGGGGTTCCTCGGAGTGCTCCTGAAACAACTTCCGGCACACTTTGGCTCACCCAGAGGGCCTGCCCTTGTTCAGTTGGTTGGGTTCCATTTTATTTTTGTTTTGGGCCATGGATCCTTAGGAAATCTTCACAATACTAATGGATCCCTTTCTAGAAAAGTACATATTTCTTCACACATAATTGTAAGTCCAGTTTAGTGGGCCCCTGGGAACCCTGCAGCTTATTATATCAGCTCTCCCAGTTCTCCTGCTGAGGAGTCAGGCTGGGCCCTGGGACGTTCAGAGCTGGAAAAGGACTGCTCATCTACTTCAGATCTGCCCCAACCCTCATCCACAGAATAGGTTGCTTTTCTTTTTCAGGCCCCTAATGGTTAAAAAAATTGCATTCTTTGCAATACTCCTTTCCCTCACCCCACACAGATTCACACCTTGTTCATAGTGAGGGAGAAAAATCACATTTGAAACCCCCCAAAAATGGTGTCTTTGAAAAATCATGATCACAAGTATGCTGCCAGTGTTTCACACCTCCGACTCCAGGTGGCTCTTAAACATCTACGACATGTGAGATGGTGACCTCAGCCCATGCTCACAAGCGAGCTGTCTCAGCCTTGGAGCCAGAAATGCAGAAAGGCCTGATTTACCATGTCCTCTGTAGCCAGATAAAGAGAAGGCAGTAGGCTAGTGCACAGCTGCTGTGTGGGCGAGTCCAAGAAGAGACTTAGAATCAGATACAGTATTTTCCTCCTTTTCTCCGTCTTGAATGGAGCCAAAATGCATGCTTGATACTGTGGTACTCATCCATGCAGATACTTCCAGAACCTACACTATGTACCTTCTAGAGAAAATTGCGACTGAATGAACCTAGGTCTAGAACAATTGGCTCATGTCTCTAACATCCATATCTTTTCTGCATTTCTGCTTTTAGAGTCATCTCCACGTGGTGGGTGTCCCCCAGCCGGAAGGACGATGCCGAATTGAATATAAACATAGGCATGATGTTTGCCAGGCCCCAAGAGGGCCAGGGCCTTCTGGAGGAGCCACACCACCAGCCACTCACCTGGCACCTGGCCTGCAGGAGG